AACATGTGAATTTTGGAAAATTCATGCCACAACACCATCCTTGTAACTTTTTGGCAGAACTGCAAAGAACTCACCTCCATTATGAGGACAATTATTCCAGCATTTCCAGGGTTTTCACAATTCCAGTAGGCAGAGCCACTGTCTCCCAAAGGCCACTACTAAAAATGAAATTGCTGCATAAGAGCCAAAGAATATCACGTCTAGTGTTCTCCTATTAGCTTTTGGCAAATTACCACACCAAGAGAGTCATCCTGGGAAGAGAAAGGTTCATGGGGGTGGGGGTGAGGAGAATGGGGGTGAGCATGGAGCTGTTTGGGCAACAGATGGCAGGCTAGCTTGAGCTGGGGATGGGACAAAGAAATATTCTCTTCTCCATTTTTTTTTCCTCTGCCCTTATTTTTTTGCCTCAGTTAACTCCTGCTGTAAGGAGCAGTGTACCTAAACAGGGAGAGAGCCTCGCAGGTACTATTCCATGTGGGGAAGGTCCCACTTCTGCTCGCTCCGGGCACATGGTCATTGCCACACACCTGGCCGGGTCCATCTCTTTCCACCCAACAAACAGTTATGGGCTAAGGGAGTGCTTATGTGCAGGGGCAGCTGACTGGGGGAAGCACTGGGTCCCGCCATACAATGAACAAGAGTTCACGCTCTTGTGAAGGAACTCAGCTCCCTCCTTAACTATTCTAATAGGGTTCAGCTTGCAGGTGGGGATTTGGGGTTTGTTTAATTCAGAAGTTTAGAAAGTCAACAGAAAGATATGTTGAAGCCCTCCTATGAAATCATATTCACTTTTTTGGAAAAAGAAACCAAATTGAAAATAATAGAAAGTGAAAAAGGCAATGTTATCTTCTCACTGGGATGTTATTTAAAACCCTTAACCAGGGGCGACCAGGGCTAAGCTTCTGGCCCAGCGTGCTTTGCTTGCCCCGGTCAGCTGCCCCTGCACCCTTTGTTCTTTTGTACAGGCCACAACCACTACCAGGCTGGTGACTTCTCAGGATTGATATCAATTGCAGAGACATCATTGCTTGTGGATTTTCTGCCTTCATCAATTATTTTTCAATTTCTAGCTCTTCCTCTTCCTAATTTCCATTGTAGAAATGCTAGAGAATTCTTTCATGCAAATGTATTTGGAATGAAGCTGTGGAGTGCGAGGGGTTTTTATAGGCCACCAGCTTTCAGGAGGATCTTCCTGAATCACGTAGGAGCTTCCCCCTCATTCCATTAACTAGTTGCCGCAGCAAGGGTCAAATGCTGGGGTTTTTTTTTGCAACCAAATGTCTCTGCTGTTTAACTGTTTTTGTGTATGTCCTAAATGATGGAGCCGGGTCACCAGAGCTCTAGCGGATTCACTAGTAGTAATTCCCTAGAAGTGGATCACTGGAGCAAGAAATCCCCCCCCTTCCCCCAAGTGCCAAGTCTGATTTATACTCCCCGAATCTCCCTGATTTATTCTTGGATTCTTGTCTTTTATGGATTTTTTCTTTTGTATTTTTTTAAAAGATTGTATTTATTTATCAGAGAGAGAAAGAGCGAGCATAAGCAGTGGGAGCAGTAGGAGAGGGAGAAGCAGGCTCCCCGCTGAGCAGGGAGCCCGATGCGGGGCTGGATCCCAGGACCCTGGGACCATGACCTGAGCCGAAGGCAGACGCTCAACTGACTGAGCCACCCAGGTGTCCCTAAAGATTTTATTTTTAAGTAATCTCTACACACAATGTGGGGCTCAAACTCACGACCCCGAGATCAAGAGTCACACGCTCTACCAACCGAGCCAGTCAGCTGCCCCAAGAATACTCTTGTATGGTATCTTTAGTCTAAGAGTTGTTATTCATCTCACCATCCATTTGTTTTTGCTGACACTGGGTGAATAAAATTTTTAGAATTCAGTCCTTCAACGGGAAGAAAAAGAGCTGAACAACACCCACAGCAAGCAGAGGCTGAGAGCCAAGGTGACCCACTTCATTCCAATACCCCACTGGCCACTTGGCTGCTAATCCCGGAGGTAGCAGGTGGTGTGATTTCACCTGGATACATACTGATTTTAAAGTATGGAGAGGCATAGGAAACTTCGAATGATCTTTGTTTCAAAAAATAAAACCAAACGAACCTAGGTGCGAACCTTAAAAAGCTTGTATTTAGCATTGTTTAAAAAGGGAAATTTTACAAACATGCATCTATGTGTGTATATATGACAGAAGTCAAATATATATGTATATGTTCTGTGTCTTTACTTTTTCCTTTTTTGCAAAACTGCAGTTAAAATTTTATATCAGGCTTCTTTGGTTAGAAGCTAACATGAGGGGGCGGAAAAAAGGAAGGGGAGAAGACAGGGGTGTTGGAAGGACAGCTCACAGAATTAAAGGAAGAATTAAACCACCAGGCTTGGAAAGGACAGGAATTGGGCACTTGCGAGGATTTTAGGCTCTGGTTCCAATTTACGTTCAGTCCCTGTGTTTCTGCTCAATATTTAAATTTCAAGGAGTGAATATCTGACTGGCTTGGCATCAGTGAAGTGCCCATCTGCATGGTAGGAGTGGGAAAAGGCCCCTGGGACTGACAGCCCCACTAAAATGAGATGAAAAGGGGGTAGGGGAGTGGGACTGTCCCCCGAAAGAAAGGGTGCTAGGCAAACACAAAGATAATCCCAGGGGTGCAGTACTGTGAGTAAATACAGTGGGGGTGAGGCAGAGAGGGTGGCCAGCCAAGGAGACCAGAGGAGGCCTGCAAACAAGGTGACAGCTGCAAGTCGTTTGTAACCGAACTTGCAAGGCACGGAACAAACAGCCTCACCACTTTGTGGTGACTTTGTGAGCCCCAAGAAGAAAGACCGTAGCTATCTTTGCTTCTGTCCCCTGGGGAGGAAGTTTGGTTCAGTGATTGCTGGTGGAGATTGGACAGCTTGAGGCTATGGCTCTGCCTCTGGCTGTGAGCGGGGCTCAAGGGGACTGTGGAACAGGGTAAAGACAAGGCCAGGGGCGCCTGGGGGGCTCAGTCGTTAAGCGTCTGCCTTCAACTGTGGTCATGATCCCAGGATCCTGGGATGGAGCCCCACATGGAGCCCCACGTTGGGCTCCCTGCTCAGTGGGAGGCTGCATCTTCCTCTGCCTGCAGCTCCCCCTACTTGTGCTCTCTCTGTCAAATAAATAAATAAAATCCTAAAAAAATTTTTTTAAAAATTAATTTCACCTGATTCTTTTTTTTTTTTAACATGGTTAGTAGAAAACTTTAAATTACATATGTAGTGGTGCCTGGCTGGCTCAGTTGGCAGAGCGTGTGACTCTTGATCTCGGGTGGTAGATTTCGAGCCCCACACTGGGTGTAGAGACTACTGAAAAATAAAACCTTTTTTTTTTTTTAAAGATTTTATTTATTTGACAGAGAGAGACACAGCGAGAGAGGGAACACAAGAAGGGGGAGGGGGAGAGGGAGAAGCAGGCTTCCCGCGGAGCAGGGAGCCCGATGTGGGGCTCGATCCCAGGACCCTGGGATCGTGAGCTGAGCCGAAAGCAGATGCTTAACGACGAGCCACCCAGGCGCCCCTGAAAAATAAACTCTTTAAAAGAAAAATAAATAAATAAATTGCATACGTGGTTCACATTCTATTTCCACTCAACAGCACTGTATTCTAATATCCTAGCTTGGCTTAATAATGCAGGTTGGTTTTTTTATTCATCTCTCTGTAGACTCCTTGCCTTGCACAGAGCAGGTGCTCAATAAATTTTTGTTGGGCAAATTAATGAATTATTAAGTTTATTCAAAGCAGTGTTTATGCCATATGTAGAGTTCTTTACTAGAGAGATAATAAGAATTAATAACTCACAGAGTCAGTACTTATCTTTTGATCATTCAGTGCTAGTATGAGGGTTAAACCCTTCTCCCAATAGCAAGGCCAGAGACTGGCAAACTTCTGTGCCCCTTGTTTTCTTCCCCTTGTGGCCCTTCTTTATTGTCCCTTTGAACTTGCTCTGCTTCCACAAAAAGACAATCCCAGCAAGGTTTAGACAGCTTAGCTGAAATGTGTGTTGTGTGGCTAATAAAGGTTTTTATGGAAACGGAGAGTCTCCATAAATAAGGCTGTTGAATTATCAGGATAGATGGGGTTGTTTCCAAATCACTTTCAGGCCTGGGGAGATTGATTCCATGAACAGCCCAAGGCCACAAGGCTGTTCCCGGTAGGGCTGGAACGAAACTCTCAGACTCTTATCTGGGATCATCTAAAATTTACAGAGAAAAGAGAGGTTGGCTGGCAGGAACCCCCTCGGCTTTCCTCCCTGACACATCCGTGCCTCACTCAGAAAGAAGGGGTGTCCGCACTCCTTTCCAGAGCTAATCTTGCCTCCTGTGCCCCATGTCTATCCCCTCCAACCCATCTGGGGGCTCGTTCCTACACTCACCCCGTCCCTGAAGTTCCCACTCTCCACTACGGCTTTCCTATCACCATGCCCCAAACGTCCTTGCCCTGAAAACCATCACCCTTCCTTAGTCCTGTGATCAACCCCCTGCCCTTCACGCTTGCCCCTACCGCCCCCTCTGTAAGCAGGTCCCACACCTCCTCTGCATATCCTGACTCCATCCTCTGCTGATGTGACTCTTAAGGCTTTAGTTTCACATTGTCCTCTCTCCTGACCCTGATCTCCAACTTCCTATTAGTCATTTCTACTTGGATATGCCAGAGGGACCTAATGTTCAACATGCCTAAACGACACTCCTCGAATTCCCTCAGACCTACTGCCTTTCATCCATACTCCCATTTCATTTACTCACAGATGCTAGATTAGATCTTTTATTTCTCTTTCATTTTTACATATAACCCTCCTCCCTCAGCCCCTTCTCTGCTGGCGGCTTTTACTTTCTTTGGTTTCTTCCAGAATCCATTTATTTATTGCACACTTAGTACACTGAGTGCCAGGCATTGTGCTAGGCTCTGGGGCTGTCATGGTAAACAAGACAGACAAGTTCTGGGCTCGCAGGCTCTGCGGCTAAACAGAGGTCACAGATGAGTCAGCAGGCAACCATAATCCAGAGCAACAAGTGCTTTGTTGGGAGATACACAGAGCACTGTGAAGACTGACGAGAGGTATCTAACCTTCTCCGGGGAGGTTAGTGCAGGCAATAGGAAGACAGTAAGAAAGACCTGTAGCAATTATCTAGGGGGAGGAGAATTTAAGGGTGTTGCCGGCATATGTGAAGGACCAGAGCCAAAAAGGACAGCAGGACACATTGGTGAATGAAAGGCGTTCCCTAGGACCGAAGCCTGAGCTCCAGGTGGGGAGCGGATCTGACAGAACTGCTGGCCAGGTCGCATCAAGCTCGTTGGGTGAGTTAAAAGAGTTTGGAAGTCATTCCAAGAACAATCTTGAACGTTCAAAGGGTTTGGGGCAGAGGAGGGGTGTGATAGGATTGGTGTGTGAGAAAGGCCGCTCTGGTCTCTCCTTAGTGTGGCAAACAGCAGGGAAGGAGGCCAGAGCAGAGCGGAGGAGCTCCGGCTTGAGGTTGTTGCCTTAACCTGGGAAGAGAAAACGGTGAATGGTGCCCATAACTGGGGCAAACAGCCCACATCCATTCGTTTCTAATCTTGATGGACTTCTTGGGCACATGCTAGGTTGCAGGCGCTGGAGGAGATGCCAAGATGACTAAGCCTGTTTCCGGACTGAGGAAGCTCACTGTCTGGTAAGAAACAAATTATTATTCGTCAAATAAATAAAGGATTGCAATGCAGTGTGATAGGTGCTATGACAGAGGTAAGGACAAATGCCCGTGGGAGTCAGAGGTGGGCAGCCCAAGAGGCCTGCTAGGGGTGGCCACAGTTCTTTCCCTCCAGGGGAGGTGAGCTTTGCCTCCCCACCCTGGAAGAGGGTATTCTTACTTCACTCAGAAGTGAAGTGTGGTTGAAACTAGGCCTTTGTGCCCCAGTTCTTGGGAGACTGAACTCTGTGAGGCCCAGGAGCCCAGGTTGACACTCCCCGGGAAGGCTGCCTCCAAGACTGCTAGGACGGGCTCCACAGAGACCATGTCAAGAAGCCAGTCCGGAGTATAGAACTTCCCTGCCCTCACCCGGCATGAATTTGCTCAAGAAAGTTTTAGTCCCAAAGGATTTGTTAATAAGGGATCATTTCTCTCTTCTGCCTGCCCAGCTCCTACGCCTGATTCAAAACCACGTTCAAATTCTGCTCCATTGGTTCTCCCCTTTCAGCATAGAGCCACACCTAAATCTTCACCATCCCCCCAAACCTCCATTCATGAATCGGCATCGCCACAAACTACTCTCTGCTCTTCTGGAACACATTCATAGTAGGTGCTGAGTGAGCAGTGAGCATGTGGGTCAATGGATCGTCTTTCCCCCCTCATTCCAATCCTTAGAGACTTCTACCTTAGGATTTCCACAGCATTATTTCCTCTGATACTCTGATGTGGGTTTGTTCGCGCGCAGATAAGGTTTGTTAATAGTAGCTACAGCCCCTTTTTATGGCATCTCTTCCATCTACCTGTCATAGCGGGCTTTCAGAAATGCAAATCTGACACCATTACCCCCGTGCTTAAAATCTTGCATGAGTGCCTATCTCCCAAGAGATGAACCGAAGCCCCAAGCATGGCATACAAGAATCTTTGGAAGAGGTTCCTTGGGGCCCCTGGGTGGCTCAGTCATTAAACCGCTGCCTTCGGCTCAGGTCATGATCCCAGGGTCCTGGGATCGAGCCCCGCATCGGGCTCCCCGCTCCGCGGGAAGCCTTCTTCTCCCTTTCCCACTCCCCCTGCTTGTGTTCCCTCTCTCGCTGTGTCTCCCTCTGTCAAATAAATAAATAAAATCTTAAAAAAATAAAATAAAAAATGAAAGGTTCCTTGCCAACATTTCTGGCTGTATCCCCTGCTTTCCACAAGACTGAGCTTTTCCATAATAGACTGTGTCCTTGTCTTGGATGTTCTGCCTTGAAAGCTCTCCCTCATCACCTTGTCCGACTGACCTTTTATCTCCACCGTTCAGCATTTTACTTCAAATGCCTTCTTTAAGGGTTCTCCCTTGACTCACTCACCCTCTCCATTGTGAAAAATGATACTTAGACATATACAACCATATTGTTACTGTTTACATTTCTTTTCTCCATTAAATAGTAAACTCTTTGAGGACAGGGGCTGTGTCTTTGGGACCGCAGGATTTAGCTCAGCACCTGGTTGGAAATGCTTCGGAGGGTCTCAAGAAACAGAAAGAATGATCTTGAAGGATCTATGAAGCAATATTTTTGGTGGGGAGTTCAGGTATGTTCCTGGGTTCCTGGGACTGAGGCTCAAACTCATCCCATGCTCAATGTCGGTGTTTACTTTCCAGTGCCCCACTTGATCTTTACCGCCTCCTCCTACCCTCTCTGCCTTCCTGCCCAACTGCTCCTTTCTCTAAGATCTCTGGTTGCAAATTTCCTTTTTTTTTTTAAATTTTTAAAAAAAATTTTGTTAATTCATTTGACACAGAGAGAGCAAAAGCAGGGGGAGGAGCAGCAGAGGGAGAGGGAGAAGCAGGCTACCTGCTAAGCAGAGAGCCCGATGCGGGGCTCGATCCCAGGACCCTGGGATCAGGACCTGAGCCGAAGGCAGACACTTAACGACTGAGCCACCCAGGCGCCCCAGGTTGCAAATTTCCTGTAAATGTAAGTATACTAAGGTGAGGGTAACTAAGGTGTAAGGTGTATTTGTATTTCAATAATGAGGATGGGGGTGCCTGGCTGGCTCAGTCAGCAGAACGTGTGACTCTTGATCTTGGGGTTGTGAGTTCAAGGCCCATGTTGCGGGGAGCATTTACTTAATTAAAAAAAATTTTAGGGGCGCCTGGGTGGCTCAGTTGGGTAATGTCTGCCTTTGACCCAGGTTGTGATCTTGCGGTCCTGGGATCGAGCCCCGTATCGGGCTCCCTGCTCAGCCAGGAGTCTGCTTCTCCCTCTCTCTCCTTCTGTATCTCCCCCCACTCCCCTGCTCATGCTCTCTCTCTGTCTCTCAACTAAATAAATAAAATCTTTAAAAAAATTTTTTGGGTGTCCCCCCAATTTTTTTTTAAATGAGGATAATTTGGGGGCACCTGGGTGGCTCAGTCAGTTAAGCGACTGCCTTCAGCTCAGGTCATGATCCTGGGGTCCTGGGATCGAGCCCTACATCGGGCTCCCTGCTCAGCAGGAAGCCTGCTTCTTCTCCCTTTGCCTCTGCCCCTCCCTCTCAACTCATGCTATCACTCTCTCTCTCAAAAATAAATAAAATCTTAAAAAATAATAATAATAAATGAGGATAATTTTTAAATTTTATTATTTCATTGGACTCTTAGAAAAATCTTTTGTAGCTGGAAAATAAACCTTCCCTTTTTCTTCTTGCTGACAGCAGCCACAGAGAAGGAGGGCTCTTGGCTAAGAATTTATTGCAGTCTTGCGAGAGCCATAGTCTCCAGGCCTTTTTTTTTTTTTTTGTACAGCTAAGGGAAGTGTATCTGAGACGTGTGGCCCAGCCCAGGGCCTGTGTCTTGTTACCAGATGGTCTGAAGGGGAGAGCGCGAGGGGGTGTGTGGGCGAAGAAGGAAAGGAACTACACACTGCCTGGCATGATAATGTGACTGGGCTGGCTCTGTGGAGAGATGGGCCTCCTGACATTTAGGCTACAGCCTCTGTGAAGGGTTTGTCCTCAAGCAGTGTAAGAGCACGTGTTCAGCGCATCAGTAGCCTTGTTGGCAAGTGGGGAGAGGTGCCCCTACTCACGCTGAAAGCAAGATTGGAAAGGGGCCCTTGACTCAGAGGCCGACACCCACCTTGGACCTCACTGCAGGACCTAGAGCCCAGCATATGAGTAGGACTTGCAGGGTTAAGTCACTGATGGTCCAGAACCCGTGATGTGGACTGGTACTGTGGAGGGGAGGGCGTGTTCCCTCCTGGGATGTGATCCAGCCTCTGGTCGGTCAGGGTGGGGTTTTCTATGAGGTGGGATGGGGGAGTGGAATACACAAGTATTTTGGCAAGGAGGAGCAGTCCTCGGGATAGGGAATCAGGCAAGACTGAGGGTGTGCATATGACGCAGATTTCTGATTGTGAGCTGAGCTGCTTGAAAGCCACGGTGCTGAAGGCAGCTGGTGCTGAACGGGGGCAGGCCTGGAGGCAGAATCTTAGGTCCCCTGTATAAGGTAGGCAAGTATACACTCCTTTTTATAGACGAGACACTGAGGAAGTTGTGAAGAAAGCAATCGCTGACCAAGCCTTGGCTTTGTACTAAGCACTGTGCCAGGTACTTTCTTGAGTTACTTGGTCGGCTTCTCAGGTGGCTGTATGTGGCTGGGGTGGTATCCCATATTTAGAACAGAAGAGTTTGGGTGACTTGCCCAAGGCCTCACAGGTCTCAAAGCTTCCTGGAGGAATCATTTGACTTCCTGGAGCAGTGTCCTTGGCTGCTCAGGGAAAAGCCTTTGAAGAGGGTATCGGGGAAAATGACATGCTGAGTGCAGGTGAATGAATCTCTCGTGGTTACATTTTAGGGATCAGTGGAGGGAGGCCTCTCAAATCACACTTCAAAGGCAACAACAAAGCCTTAGAAGTAAAACCTGCACTGCATGGCTGGTTTGTGTGGGAGACAACTCCTGGGCTCTTTCTAGGCTGCACAGAAAGTACTGGGAACATTAACATGAGAGCAAAGGATTTCACTGAAGGTCACCTAGAAGTAGAGAACAAAGGAATGGCACTAAAAGGGTATCTTTACCCATAAATTTTTCCCATATGGTGAGCAAGTGTTTATTGGGACCAATTATGTGGCTGCTACCATGATAATGGGTGTGGGGGAGTTAAAACCTACAAACCTTGAGCGTTTGAGGCATTTAGAGCAGTGCACATGCACGCACACACACACACACATGCACGCACTATGAGCAGTCCTCTCTCGTGTGTGCCTGTATGCTCACGCAGGCATGGAAGGGTCTGGGTGGAAAGGGACGTGCGGTGAAGTGGCCAGCCAGTCAGGATGAAGGTGTAAAGGCTGGGATGTCTCCTGGGGGCAGACCTGTAATGCTGAAGAGAAGCGCTGCAGACCGTCATAGGGTTTGCCAACTGATGTTTCATCTGGTTGTAGTTAGCGGGTGTCAGCTACATTTCCAGCTCCCGTACCTGCGATAAGGCTAGGAAACTCTGGGAAAACGTACCAGTTTAGTGATAGCAGCAAAGAGGGGGATTAAATGAGTTTATTTATCTGGGAAATTCCGTGATTTATGAGATATCAAGGAAGCAGTGTCTCCCCGTAATGTTAGGAGCCTGGGAGTGTTGACTTCTAGTTTTCTTGACCAGCTCTGTCCTTGACATATAGGGTGGCCTTAAGACCTTCTTCCTGCCTCATTCTCTTCATTTCCTGCTACTGCCCTTGCAGCTCAATTGACCCTCTCCTTCGGGCTGACCTACTCCCCACCTCCTGCGAGCTATGCTGTGTTCAGGGCTCAGCCTCTACCCACGCTGCCCTCCCCCTTCACACACACACACACACACACACACACACGCACGCACTATGAGCAGTCCTCTCTCTCTCCCCCTGGAATTGAGGCTGTTTCCCAAAGGCGAAGGAGAAGTACATTGTGGATACTCAGCCATCATGTAACCTGTGTTGAGTATCCCCGTGCTCCTTATTTTAGTGCTCTATATATGTGCCCCTGTCAGCATCACATTCTGTTTTATCCACAGTGGACTGCAGCTGTCCAAAGCTGGAGCAAACTTCGCTTCTGGCCTGGGCCCACAGCCCACACAATGTCCTGTGCAATAAATATCAATTGGTTTGTTAATGAAATTTATTGCCCATTTTGTAAAGTGGTGACCACAGTTGCCTACCAAGCAGTTTTAGATCATTAGGGGGAAAAGAGTCATATAAACATAAATTATTAACTTACGAAACAATTTCCTTTAAACAAAATCTGTAAATACTTTCTCTTTTGTGGTTTTCTGTATCACATGAATAAGCTTTACTATAACTTACACATACCCACGAATATAATACAATCAGAAAGTTTTGAGCAGTCAGAGCACCTAAGCCTGATTTTGAAATTTTGTTTTCAAAATGAAAATACTTTTTTTTTCTGATTAAAGTAACTACCGTATTGGATCAAAGTTAGTAGTTTTCCAGAAAAGAAACACAGTTTCTTTATGTTCTGGAGCCTGTTTTGAGTGCTGTTTTATGCACTGTACAAATGGTATACTTTATATTTTGTCTCTACTATATTTTTTCAACATGGTTTCAGGGAATATTTACACATTGTACATATTCTGTTCTTTAGTGATAATAAGTGCCATTTATCAAGCACAAAGTATGTACCATGCATTTCATATTTATTGGCTCATTGATCCCTCCCAATAATCCGGGGGGGAGGTTTCTCGATGGTATGTTTGTGTCCGTGTGAATTCTTTTTTTTTTTTTTAAGATTTTATTTATTTATTTGACAGAGAGAGTGCAAGCGACAGCACAAGCAGGGGGAGCTGCAGAGGGAGAGGGAGGAGCAGGCTCCCCGCTGAGTGGGGCTCATCCCAGGACCCTGGGATCATGACCTGAGCCGAAGGCAGACACTTAAATGACTGAGCCACCAGGCGCCCCTCCCGTGTGAATTCTTATCAAAAGGCCTCCACTTCACAAAAAGCTTTTAATCAGGTGGGTAAGATGACCACCAGGTGGATGTCAGGAAGCTTCCTTCTCCATCACCCCAGGGCTTACACGTTGGGCTCAGGAGCAAAAGGTCATGGGGGCAGGAAAATGAAGATCATGTATGGATGGTCTCAACAACATGGGCTTCTTCCTACCAAGGCTGACCTGACCCCCGCCACTGCTGTGAGCCCAGTTTTGCAGGAGCACACCAACTCTTCGTTATGGCTCTAGTCATTGGTGAAATCAGCCAGCTACCTGGAGACTGCTGTATTACGTTAGACCCCTCTGTCATCAAAAGGGTACCTCTAGGGGCGCCTGGGTGGCTCAGTCGTTAAGCGTCTGCCTTCGGCTCGGGTCAGGATCCCGGGGTCCTGGGATCGAGCCCCACATTGGTTACCCTGCTCAGCTGGAAGCCTGCTTCTCCCTCTCCCACGCCCCCTGCTTGTGTTCCCTCTCACACCATCTCTCTCTCTGTCAAATAAATAAATAAAATCTTTAAAAGAAAAAAAAGTACCTCTATTTTGTCCTTTATCAGAATAAATGCTTATCCTAGATTGTGTCTGCTTTCCAGGATTCTGCTGATAAAAAATTGTGAAGTTAGGGGCGCCTGGCTGGCTCAGTCGGTAGAGCATTTGACTCTTGATCTCAGGGTTGTAAGTTCAAGTCCCACATTGGGTGTAGAGGTGACTTAAAAATCTTAAAAATTGTGAAGATAGGGCGCCTGGGTGGCTCAGTTGGTTAAGCAACTGCCTTCGGCTCGGGTCATGATCCTGGGGTCCTGGGATCGAGTCCCACCTCGGGCTCCCCCTGCTCTGCGGGGAGCCTGCTTCTCCCTCTGCCTGCCACTCCCCCTGCTTGTGCTCTCTCTCTCTGTGTGTGTCAAATAAATAAATAAATAAATAAAATCTTTAAAAAAAAATTGTGAAGATAATGAATGCCTTAAACATTTCCAAGGTGTCCCACAAACGTTGTTTTACAGTGAAAGAAAGAAGTCGTACACTGCTATCATAAGATTCAGTAGTCTTATCATGTGCCCCATTGTCAAGGAGTTATAGAACGGCAGTGTGCATGGGCAAGCAAAGATATAGCCCCTTCAGAGATTGGTGTGCTATACTGCAGGGTGGGGCTCATGCTCTGAGCCAATGACCTACACGAGGATTGGTCCCTCCCATAGCCAAAATACACGGAGCTGGGGCACCTGGCTGGCTCAGTCGGTACAGCATGTGACTCTTGATCTCAGTCAGGGTCATGAGTTCAAGCTCCACGTTGGGTGTAGAGATTACCTTTAAAAAATGAAAAATACACAGAACTACGAGCCAGGAAATGAAAGTGGGCAAAATTATACCCAGTGACCCATTCACAAATTTCTTTGTTTCCTATCCCCATGTAATCTGTTCTTTGCTGGTTTTAGTGCCCAGGGGAAGAAAACTTCCA